TCAAAATTAATCTGAATATTCTTGGTGATGTTCAGATTAATCTGCATCGGCTTAATCAATCAAATATTTCACAATCTGTATCGGCAATTAGCACCAGCCCTTTTTATTGATTTGCTAATTTTTTTAGCTAATTTGAAGAATACAAACTGTTGAAAACAAATAGTAGATTAACTAGGATTTTAACAATACATTTTAAAAAGTTTGATTTATTGAGTAATAACTAAATTCAGACAAAAAAAAATCAAAAGAAATCAAATTTCTGAACATTTATCCCTCACAATACAACGAGTGAGAATGAATCTGTCTGGAAGGTATTTGTTTAAAGCACATGAACCACGTCAAGATTCCTTCCTATTCATGTGTACGATTTTTTATGCAGAACGACTGAAAGTGTATGACAGAAAAATACACAATCAATTAGCAAACTGCTTTTCCTTGCACATTTTCATTCATTAACAGAAAACTTAGTCATAAAAGATAAAGAGTATTATGACAATAAAAAAAGTTGTTTTTAAACGTTTATAAAGTTTTTAAAAAATATTTCATGATTTGAAATTACATACTGTTGGGTAAGGTTAGAAAGCATTAACTTTAAATGTTGATTAAGTCCTCCTAGTGATTGAGTAAAGATAAAAACTATTCTGTAAATTAATATAAAAATAAGAAAAATTCCAGTTGTTAAAAATTGCTTAAAAATTTACACAAACCGTCTAAATCACATGCCTGGAATCGTAGTTGCAATTTTGAAAAACAAAAAATTAAAATGTGCAAGTTACTTAGTAATATTGTTCAGGAGAGTTTCCTGAACAATATTACTAATAATAACAAAAAGTAAACTGCTAATTTAATGAAATAAAAAATAAGATAAATAATATATTGTACTGTACTGTTTTAACCAGAAAGGTTTTCCATAACTCTTTAATTACTAAAATGTTTAAATGTTTTAATCTTTATTTTCACTAATTTTAGATTTTAAGGTTGAAAAATACAAATGTATTTTTAAGCCTACATATACATACAAATATATTTTTTTACCCTACATATACATACAAATGAATGCAATACACTTTTGGTGTCAATTAGATAATTATTTGATTTTACTACAACATTTATAAATATGTTTCAATATTTAAACATCCTAAATAATTAATAATATAAAATGTATTCAACTCTGAATCACTGAAGTGTTTAATTTCTCACGAAAAGTTTAACTTGTGATTACCATTTCTTTGCATTAACTTTTTGATAACTTCTTGATTATCTGGAATCTCTATGCGTATATATCAATGCTAAACCATTCAAACGATCTCCAGACATAGTTGATATTGACCAGGTTTTTAATCTGCGAAGATTTGAAATAGATCTTTCACAAGAACACAATGTCACAGGTGAAGTTGCTAATAACTGCAAACAAACAAAAATATTGGCAAAAGTTTTTATACATGAAATTGACTTTATAGTATCAGACACATTGTTTGGAATGGGATAATTAGTGGTAGTCCAGTATACCTCCCAAAGACCACACTCTGCATCTAAAGCTAATGGATTTGGCAAATCTTCAGAATTAAAAATCATAAAAAATCTTGAAGCTCTCCCTCTAATTTTTTTCTGAAGGACTATTTAACAAAGAAATTATTTTATCAGGGATAATACTCAAGCCATGGAACAAAGTTAGATTGTCATTGATCAATCTTTCAGAAAGAGCTAAATCTAGGTGATCAACTGCAGGGATGGTTTAAACATGTTTATAATATTCTCATGTATTCTCTGCTGGATAATTGCTGGATGATTTTCGCAATGGATTTGCCTTCCAACAGCTCTTCTTCTACATTCATCAACCCCAATTTGTTCAGCAATAAATTTAGTATCAAAATAACACCTATCATGCAAACCATCAACTTTGTTTTTAATAGCCGTAATTCTATCAGTCAAAGAACGTTCAAGATCTATACTAGTTTGAATATCTAAACTGCTGGATTGTAACATCTTACTCACTACACGGATTTCATCAAAAACAGCTCTAGTCACAACCATAGAAGTAATAAATTCAAAAGTAGCAACCAATATCAATAAAGATGTAGCTCTTTGGGAGTCTGCCCCAAACTTATATATGTCATTGCTTAAAGCTTCAAGCAAATAAACTACTGCAATATACAACTCCTGAAATGTGTGCAAAACACCTATTCTTTCAAGCCACCTAATTCGATAAACATCTTTTAGGTTTTTTTTCCTTTTTATCAGGACAGTGCTCTAAAATCATTGTCTCTAAGACATAATTTCTTTTGATAGAAAGATTAAAATAATAGAAAACCTCTTTTAAATGGTTTTTAGCATTACAGAGAAGTTGAACTTCACAAGAATTACACACTACTAGATTTAATCGATAACTAAAACAATGGGTGTATAAAGCCTTGTTGTTTAACTTTAAAATCCTTGTAAATAAATCCATAGCTAAAACCACTAACTAGCTTTTGCATTTGATATGTAGTTCGCACTGAAACATTATTTTACAAGTTAATCTGTAAGATTAACTTGTGATTTGCTAGCAAAGTATGAATAATTTGATACTTATGCTAATCTGATGAAAACCTCTGATTAAATAACTTAATGTGAACAAAGCAGTATAAACAAATAATAACTTACAGAATAGGTACTAGTTTATCCAATTTTTCATTTTTGTTTAAGTAGGCTTCAGCGCATATATTTCGTTTAAAGTGAACTTGATTAATTAATGAATGCAAGTTTTCTTCAGTCAAAAAAACATAAAGAATCAATTGGAGGAAATACTTCTTGTTAATCTCCTCGAATTTTATTCGTACATTATCAAAAATCTTAGACATCTTAAAGTAAATACTTGAAGAAAGAAATGTTAGGCGTAAAAAGCCTAACATAATTGACCAAATTGTCGTATTTTCCAGACTTTTTATGCGTAAACTACCGTAGAACGGGGTGACTTTGATACGCGGGGTGACTTTGATAATTTCGTCTGTTAGTTACAAAAATAATGATTTGAATGTGAAATTGCACAATTAGAGACTATTTTTTTTTTTATTCTTGTACATAATTATATTCTGCTAATATTTTTGAAATTTTAATGATTGTGAAGTGATTCTAAATTGTGCAAATGTGTTAGGAATAACATGACTATAACAAAAAAATAACGATTTTTACACGTACCAAAAAATGCCAAAAAATCTTGTGATTTTAATTTTTTTGAAATTTTTTTTTTCTAAAAATCTATACTTAGATGTTCAAGTGGTATTTTCCAGTTATAATACCACTGGAATATACCACTCGTGTTTGGTTACTCTCAATCACATTTGCAGAAAAATCAGTGTAAATCAAGGTAAATCAGTACTTAATATTTATATGCAATTAGTATTATTTTTTTGTTAGTGTTATTTTATAACTGCTAATTACTATAACAATTTTATTGATATATTATTTTTCTGTGTTTAGCATATTAACATCAAATTTATTTTTGTTTTTTCTTTGTCCATTCTGTAGATATATTCGATAACCAAACTTGTTGTATAAATTTATAATTTTACCAGTAAATCTTATAAGTTTATTAATATGTTGTGTTCTAATTTAGTAAAAGTCAAAAAAAAAGTATTAGCGACACTGTAAAGAGGGTTAAATCAATAAGCCATTAAGAAATAATAGACTATCAAAGTCACCCCAAACGACGGGGTGACATTGATAACATTTTGGATTAAAAATATATATATTAAGACAAAAAAAAATTAAAAATATTTAATGGAATTATATAAAGGAAAGGTATAATGTTATAACGGGAAAAAAAAAATCAGAAAAAATTGTAATGAACCAGATTTATTTTGCAAAAATGCTCAAAATCCTAACAAAGTCACCCCGTTCTACGGTATATCCCAATCGGCCAAATTTTTTTAATTTCCAGACTTTTTATGTCTAAACTTAACCCAATCGGCTAAGTTTCAGGCAAATATGGCTAATTTTCTTAATTTCCTGATCAGATCGCCTCAGATCAGGCGGCCTTAGGTATAAAAACCAACCGGCCAAGTTTAAACTAAATCGGGCTAAATTTCTTATTTTCTAGATTGCCTTAGATAAGGCGAAATTTGTTTCGCCTTATGCATAAAAAAGCCATTTCGCCAATCATAATATTTAACAACCTCGCTCATTTTTGAGGCTTCAAATCCGAAACCGTGAAAAAAATCCTAATGAATTTATTAAAATTTTAAATTTAAATTTCGAAAATAAAAATTTCGTAATTTTTACTTTAAAAAATGTATAGTAAGATACACCTTAATTATAATGTAATATTTCTCCTTAGGCGGCCGCCTAATCTGCAGTACTGTAGATCCGCCACTGAGTATGGTATATTATATCATATAGAGAATTTTTTATTTACCAGAATGATAATTAATGCCAATTTATATAAAATCTTATTTAGTAGTCAAATAAAAAATGAACTTTTTTGAGATCCAAATTAGTGATGGTAGTTCAAAAAATGAACTATCATCACTAATCTGGATCTCAAAAAAGGAAAGAAAAATTGTCAAGATTGAAAAATGTAAATGAAAAAAAAACTCTACTTCAAAGATATGGATTTTCAGTGTCTTCGAAAGAGAAAGATTTAGAAAATGAATATCATAATGTAGAAGCTAATTTTACCAATAACAACAACGTTGTTGAAAATGCTGCAGTTTAATTAATGTGACTGCCGAGTTTCCAGATCCTGATAACATAGAAAATAAAGATGACGTGGAGCCCGGCAATCTTTTAGTTCCTATTAACAATATCTTTGAGAATTATAAATCAAATATAACTGATAATAAAATTACTAAAACAAAACTGCTTGACTTTGATGTTGGTAGTCTAAAAAATGAAAAACCAAATGCTTCTGAAATTGAGGAAGCAGTTTGTAGGGGTCTAGAAAAGATCCCATCTCAATTTCCAAAAGATGTGAACGGACATTCATTTTCTGTTTGTATACTACATACAAGTATGAAAAATGGAGAATATGTTCCCCGTGATTGGCTTGTTTGGAGCAAAGTTAAACAATCGATATTTTGTTTTCCTTGTCGCCTTTTTAGCAAACTACCAACAGCAAGTCGCTCACGTTTAACAACTATATCTGGGTATTGTTTTCAAAGAAAATGGAAAAAATTACATGACAAAATTTCAGAGCATCAAAACAGCAGCAACCATAAATATTGTTATATTAAATGGTGGTTATTGGAAAAAAGTATTGACTCTAATTCCACTGTCGATATTATGTTGCTGCAGGCCATTAAGAATCAAGCATCACAGTGGGGACAGGTTCTTCGCCGAATTTTAGATGTCACATTGTTTCTAGCCGAACGAGGTTTGGGATTTAGAGGAACAAGTGATTTTGTTGGAGTTGCAGCAAATGGCAATTTTTTGGGCATTTATTTGAACTATCTGAACAAAGTGATGAAGTCGCAGAAAATGAAGAGAAGACAACAAGCAAATTACCTTTCACCGGAAATACAAAATGAGTTTATTTGTTGTGCCAAAAAAGTATTAGACGTTATTCTAAGTGAACGAGAAGCAGCAAAATATTACTCAATATTTGTTGATGCAACCCCTGATTCAGCACATATGGAACAAACTGCATTTATATTGCGTTATGTTTATTTAAATGACGAAAATAGTCTCTACGAAGTTCAAGAGCGATTTCTAGAGTTTGTTGACTGCAATCAGAAAACGGAGAAAGCTATTGCTGAATTAATTTGCAGTGTTATTAAAAAACACAATATACCAATGATAGACTGTCGTGGTCAAAGTTATGACAACGGTAGCAACATGAGCGGTCAATATAAAGGAGCACAAGCAGAGATAATTAAAGAGAACCAATTGGCAATTTATTCTCCATGTGCTTGTCATAGCTTAAATCTGTGTGGTGTCCATGCCGCAGAGTGCTGTGCAGAGGTTATCTTACTGCCGAGACTCGATCAGATATCAAACGTATTGAGAAATACTTGGGTTCATTTGAATGCATTATACTCGCAAGCACTTGGTTTAAAGTTCTAACAAGCATCAATTACAGAAACACAGTTCTGCAAGCCAGAGATGCAACTTTAGATGTGGAGGTTTTAAATTTAAAAAACTTAATTGATGACCTCTTATTATTGAGAAACAACTGGGATTCAATTTTAAATTAATGTAAACTTGTTGCCGAAAATTTGAGTATGGTTTCCAATAACATATTCCCGGGGAAAAAACGCAGCCGAAAAGCTAGATTTTCAGATGAGGAACAGAATAATAAATTAGGCAACACCAGTGCAGAATTTTGTTTCAAGCGCGATGTTTTTTATGTTCTTTTAGACTGTGTCATTGGTAATATGAATTGGTGTTTTGAGGCAGCAAAAGGTCTTGAGGAAACATTTGGTGTTGTATGGAAATACATGACATTAGATAAAGATCTGCTGCGTGAGAAAGCTTCATCTATTTGCGTTAAATATAGCATTGATGTTTCTCTCGATTTAATAGACGAGTTAGAACATTTAAAGGCAATTCACGCATCAAATCTTGGCATAATACAATTATTGTCGTTTCAATTATTAAACAAACTCCATGAGTTGAAGCTTGATTTTCTTTTCCCAAACATTTTAGTTGTTCTTAGAACTTTTTGTACACTTCGAGTTACCGTTGCACAAGCAGAACGCTCTTTCAGCACCCTTGCAAGAGTTAAAAATGTTTTACGTTATACGATGTGTCAAGATCGACTTTCTAATTTGGGAAGACTAGCGAGGCGCCACTTGAAAGGAAACTAGACTTTGATGCAGTTATCGAACTTTTTGCAAGCGAAAAAACCTCGCAAAGCTTAATTTGGTTAAGTGCAGTACAATTAAATACAATTATTTATTTTGAACAATTAGAATTCAAAATATTCTTTTTTTAAAAGAAAACCAAAGAATATACTTGTTAGTCTGTAAAACTCTCTTAGAGAAATTAGAGTCTTTATTAATACTTTTTATTTTAATTTACATTCTCTTCTTTTTTATATTATAAAATACTATAGTGACCCCTCGGCCTTGGGAAGGCGAATAATGTGAAAAAAAAAAGTTCTAACAAATGCAACTTATTAAAAAAATAAAAGGATTCGTTGGCCAACCTAACTAATTAAAGGATTCGTTGGCCAACCTAACTAATTAAAGGATTCATTGGCCAACCTAACTAATTAAAGACACATCTAGTCCTAGACTTTAAGATTGATTTTGATTTAAGTTCTTTTTTTTTACCGCGAACGGACGTGTTTTAAGAGCTTATTAAAAAACTTATAATAATGGCGAAGAACTTTACACCAGCACAACTTAAAGAAATCCTTGAAAATCACGAGAATACTATGATGAAAATTTTTAATGATCGGATAGAAAAAATGGAAATTAAATTTAATAACTTAAAAGATGAAAACTTTACGTTAAAAAAAGAATTATCTGAGGTACAGAAAGCTGTCGAATTTATAAGTAAAAGCTATGATAAAATAATAATTGAACTTACAGAATTAAAAAAAATAGAGTCTCAAAATGATGAACGTAATATTGAAAATGGAACTAATAACATAAAAGAGAAAATAGCAGAACTAGAAGACAGAAGCCGTAGAAACAATTTGAGATTTATTGGGATTAGAGATAAAGCTAATGAAACTTGGGAAGAAAGTGAGCAAAAAATCAAAGACTTCCTCAATACAAAGCTTAATATACAAGAAAAAAATTTAATAGATAGAGCCCATCGAGTTGGAAAAGAAAACGGAAAAAACAGTATATATCAATAATTGTTCGATTTCAAAACTACAAAGACAAAGCCCTAGTGTTAAACAAATATACGACGATGAAGCTATGGAACGAACGATTGTACGTTAACGAAGACTTTAGCGATTTTACAATGGATTTACGAAGAAAGCTTTTCAAAGAAGTGAAAGAATTGAGAGCGAAAGGTAAGTTTGCTAAAGTAGTTTACAATAAATTAATTACGCGCGACCTATAATTATAAAGGAATTCTTTTAATATTCTATAATTAAATTTAAAAACAAAAATGGATGACTACGAATCCATTACTTTTAATTTTCATGATAAGTACTTAAAATCAAATTTTAATTCAGATCCAGATGTCAACTTTTTTAATGATGTGAACACATGTTGTTCTTATTTTTATCCCAACGAGTTAAAAGAATTTCTTAATAAAAATGGCACTGAAAATCAAAAAATCAGAAACCTTCACATTAATATTAGAAGTCTAAACAAAAATTTTGAAAAGTTTTGCGATTTTTTAGATGAAACTGAAAATATTTTTAACATAATTTGCTTAACAGAGACGTGGATTTCTTCAAATGATTTTAAAAATAATTCTATTTACCATCTTCCAGGTTTGAAACAATTTTATAGGGATGTACCGAAGCTTCGGCTTCGGCTTCGGTTCGGCCGAAGCTATGGGCGTTTTTTGCCGAATCATTGGCATCGGCAAAAAAATGGACATTACTAAGCTGGCATTCGACTGAAGAAGACATTTTTTAAACGTTCACACGACGTCTGTTTTCCGAATAAAACGTAGTTGAACGTTCAAAATTCTTCTTTTTCTTTTCTTCTTCTGGGAAATTTAAATAAGCCTCTGATCTATACAGTTGTGAAGATTAAATGAATCCAGCAACGGCTTTTGGAGTTGGCAAGGCCGTGTGCAGGGCGGCCAAAAATGGCTCCATAACGGATAGAAAGTAAAGTTAATTAATGAAACACATTGATTTTTTTTTATAATCACTCAATATAAGCTGATTTAAACTGTAACATTATAGTAAACTTTATATAGTTAAATACCATAACCCTAATATTTAGTTATGATCACTCGAGCTTAGCAATAAAATTTATTTATGCATTAGTTGGTAGTAAAATAATGAAAAATAATTAAAATTTAATTTTTTTAGCATTTAGTTATTAGTTAGCATCAATTTCTAAAATCCGAGTTATATTAAATTATATATAACTACTTTCCATTTTTTCTATGTAACAGCTATATTGGATTCATTGAAGTCCATTTCATTTGGCTTTGGCAAAAAGTTCGGCCAACAAATTTACAAAACCATCTGAAAAAAGTACATTACAATATACATAGCATGATTCTTTCTCAGAAGAAAATTGTTAACCACGAATCTTTACCAAATCCAAATGAAAAGTCTATAAAACAATTTTGCACTACTCGAACAATATGCTCAGATAAAACAAGCTCTGCTGAATCAGTGCAAATTATTACCAGCACTGCCACAGATGAAACGCAGGGAAGCTCGCGTGTGTCTAATAACACAATTGCCTTTTTTTAAAAAGCATCGACACAGGTAACTCAGCTAACTGTAGCTGAATTCATTTACTATTCAGTATTCATGATTTTGTGACTGGATGGGGGCATGTCTTGTCGAAAAATTATCTTTTGTATAGAAAAAAGTTAACTTAACTTATCTAAGCTTATAATATTATAATAAATGTTCTGGTGAGGGGGGAAAGATACATACCTCTATCCGCCACTTAGATCCGTCGCTGCCCATTGTTAGTTACAAGTTGCTAAGTAATTTTTTTAATTCGTTGAATTTGTTTCAGTTCTCACTGCGGGAGATTTTACAAAGAAAAGAATTGTGGCAACTTGATAATCCTAAGGCTCAAGCTATTACCAAGCTTATTGGAGAAATGATATGTTTAGACTTGCAGCCATACTGTATTGTTGAAGATAAAGGTTTTACCCGACTTTTAAAGAATTTAGCTCCAAACTATACAATACCTAGTCGAAAGTATTTCTCCACAAAAGTCATTCCACTGATGTATGAAACCATAAAAGCCAAAGTAAAATATGAGCTTGATCAAGCAGATTTCCTAAGTTTAACTAGTGATGGTTAGACCTGTCAGCACACAATTCAATCGTATTACGTATTAAAATTCATGCAGTTTTAACTGATAATGCAGCCAATGTAATGGCTACCATTAAAGAGTCAAATTTGGGCGATAAACATCTTCCATGTCTGACACATACTTTACAACTTTGTATTCAGAAAAAGATCTTTAGAGAACAAAGAACAGCAAGTGATACAATAGCTGTTTTTCCAGCATTAGCAGGACATTTCCACCACTCATCTAGTGCTGTGGCTAAACTAAAGGAAATTCAAAGTCAACTAAAATTGCCAGAGCATAACATAATTCAAGATGTTTCCACAAGATGGAGTTCAACATACTATATGCTTGAAAGGTTCATTGAGCAGAAAAAAGCTATTACATTGTATTGCATTACCAGAAATCAAACAAATGCAAAAAATCCTACGGAAAATCAATGGCAACTTGCTGAAATGCTTGTATGCATATTAAAACACTTCGAAAGTACTACAAAAGACATGAGTAAAGAAACTGCATGTATATCAGAGATTATACCATTTATCTATGCAATGGAAAAGTTTCTAGACTACGCTTGTGACACGGCAACTGAAATAAAAACTGTTGTTGATGAACTTAAGAAAGATTTTAACTGTCGTTTTCAAAAATACAAGGATAATGTTGATTTAAAAATCGCGATGATGCTCAATCCTCGTTTCAAGTTAAAGTTTGTTGAAGACAAGAATCATGATATGTTTAAAGAAATACTCCATCTAGAGTTCTACCGTTTTTGTTCCAAATCTCATTTAGAACAAGTAAAAGAAATTGAATTTGGTGTAGCAAGAGGTTGTGGATCAGACTCAGAAGAATCATTAAGTTCATTTTCAGAATCTAAAATTCATGAGTCCGACTCAGATTTTGATGGCCATGGCTCTCCATTAAAAAAAAAAAGCTAATGAGCATAGACATATATAGCTTGTTCCACCAAATCGGTGCAAATGAGTATGCTCTACAAAATTCAGAAAATTCTGACGGACGGAGAAAAAAAAAAAAAAACACTAGTTCAATGGGAAAAACTCTAGCTGTCAAAGAAAAATGGTAAGAAAACAGAATCTATTTTTGATTTTTATATTGTTTATACATTAAATATTAAATATTTTTTTTATCTCAATTCTCAATCTCTATTTTTTATATTTCAAAAGACGGATAAGAGCATTCTTTTATTTTGTTTAGTTGATTAAAAATATTTTAAAAATTTAAACCTAAAATTATCACCTATACTTTATGTATCAGCACCGATGAAGTCAACTTCTACTTTAGCCTTCCAATACTGCCAAAGAATGAATGCCCTTATAAGTGGTGGAGTGCATACCGTTACACTTCCTCTGATAAAGATACTTACAAGTTGAATTTGTCAAAGTTTTCAAAGAAAGTTTTGTGCGCGCCTCCCTCATCTGTAAAAAGTGAACGCTTATTTAGCACATCTGGAAACATATTTGAAGCAAAAAGAAACAGACTATTACCCGAACATGGAGAACAGATTGCATTTTTAAATCATAATATGCCTGCTTTCATTGAATAAATTATTATTAACTAAATAATAGACTGTAGCTTCTTAGTTCAACTGATTCAACTTTTTAACAAAATTTAAAACAAATACCAAATTTTATGTTCAAATTAAAATAATGACTACTTTTATATTTTTACATTTTACGTGTTTACATTTTTATGAATTCTTTCAAAGAATAGACCATAAATTACCTTAAGTATCAGTAAATATCTAAGATTTAGTGATGTAATCTTTCCTATACCTGCTAGATATATAGAGTTAAGACTCTAAATTTCACTCTCTAAATTTTTGTACAAAATTTGTTTAAATTTTTTATAATATTGGTTTTGTTTTATAATTTTCCTAAAATGGGCATGTAGGTCAAAACATTCAAACCTAAAACATTGATATATAATTTTAAAAACAACTTGATTATTCAAATCACCGTGGTGAAGTAAATTGAACTTTAAATTACGTATAACTTAAGCCGAAGCTTCGGCTTCGGCTGAAGCTTCGGCTTCGGCAAAGTGGCTTCGGCCGAAGCTTCGGCTTCGGCAAAATTGCAGCTTCGGTACATCCCTACAATTTTATTAGAAAGACAAACAAATAAACGCGGTGGAGGAGTTCTGATTTACGTTAAGGAACACATTGCACATAACATTAGGAATGATATGTACGTTTCTGACGGTGATAAAGAAATCGTAACTATTGAAATTTTAAACAATAAAAAAAATAGTATTCTATTAAGTTGCTGTTATAGACCACCTTTGAGTCTGAATATCTTAGTTTCTTTTTACAGCAAAATATCATTCACAAAGGTAGCAAAGAAAACAAAATTACTTTTATAATTAGAGATTTCAACATGAACTGTTTAATTTATAATAAAGATAAAAAAATAAAAAGTTTTTATGATGAAATACTTATGGCAGGAGCTCTTCCTTTAATTAATCGCCCTACTAGAATAACCAAAACTTCAACTACGTTAATTGATAATATTTTTACAACAGATATTTATAATAGGAAATTAAAAAAAGGAATTATAAAAACCGACATATCCGATCATTATTCTAGCAATTCTGTATCCTCTAATAACTTTGAAAGACAAAATATAATAAAAAAACGTGTCTTCAATGAGAGCAATATAAAATCCTTCCAATATCAATTATCACTTCTGCATTGGAAACATATTAACTTTAATGAAGACGCAAATACAATATATAAAAAATTCTTTGATACGTTCTTCTCAATATACGATGCAAACTTTCCACTTTGTGAAAAAATAACAAAAATAAAATCCTTAAATAGTCCATGGATTACCAAAGGACTTAGAAAATCCTTTAAAATCAAACAGAAACTATATATAAAATATCTAAAAACAAAATCAAATGAAAACCAACAAAAATATAAAAATTACCAACATTTGAAAAAATTCGTAAAAAATTAAAAAAAAATTATTATTCAAATTTAATTAGTAAATTTAAAAACGACTCAAAAAATACTTGGAGAACGTTGAAAGAAATAACAGGAAAACAAAAAACAAACTCAAACTCCCTTCCTAAAGTAATTAAAATAAATAAAACAAATATATATGAACCAAACGAAATTGCAAACGAGTTTAATAAATATTTCATTGACATAGGAGTACTCTGATAAATATCTTGGCCAAGTTTTTTTGGTTTCTGAAACAGAACTAGCTTTAAAGTCAAATGTATCAGCTGTGACCCAAGAGTTTGAACGCAATAAAAATTTAGCAAGTGATAAAATTTATAACTCAGTAAATCAAGAGCAAGCAACTCATTTGAGCGAGTGAGATCTAATAAACTGTTTTATAATAATTCAATAGGATATATGATGATATAAGTTTTATACTTCGGTGAGAAATAGAGTTTTGTTTTTATCAATGACTGAAATAATTTTTTCTAATTTTTAAGGCCAATTTTTACTGATTTTTTTGTTGTTGTTGTTGATAACAAGTAAAAGTTAATAAACGGGGAGGTCTTAATAAGCTGTATAGGGTGTATGTATGGGGTGGGTGGCAAAATTTTCCAAAAATTAATAAACGCGCCCCCTCTTTTTTTTATTAAGTACTCGAGAGTAGATACGGGAAAATGGACATATCCAATAACCGACTCTCAGCGTTATGACTTGATTCAAAACAGTCCCCATCAAAATATAGAGAAATCTGATGAAAGTTACCCCAAAAACGCAAATAACAGACGTTTTTCTAAATTTCATTTAGGTAACTTTAGAGATTTATTTAAATTGTTATCCAAATATGATCTGACGCTAAAGGAGCACTTGCAACGAATTAATGAAAAGCAAATTGTTCAAAATTATCTGAGCCACGACATTCAAAATGAATTAATTACATTGATGTCTGAAACAGTTATTGATGAAATTATAAACAGAGTTAAACAAGCAAATACAATGCCTTTTTGCTCGATTGCGCCAGAGATGTAAGTCGTATTGAACAAATGTCAATAATATTAAGATTTTGGAATTCCTCAACTGGAACAATAGAGGAACATTTTGTTTTTTTTTTATTGACGTTACGGAAACAACAGGAGAATATTTAGCAAACTCCATATTACAAGAACTAGAGAGAAATGGTCTGGATTTACAAAATTATCGAAGACAGCGATATGATAATGGCGCCAATATGGTAGGCATTAATAAAGGTGTCACAACAAGAATACTCAACATTAATCCAAGAGCATTAATTCCAGCTATGACATCCGCACGGTGTGCGGATGTCATAGCTGGAATTAACTTTTAATAGATGCAGCTAATTCTTCTACAACAGCTAAAACATTTTTCGGCTTTATTAATAAAATCTATGTACTCTTTTCGAAGTCAAGCAAGCCTTGAGAACTTACAAAAACTAAATTAAAACTATCACTAAGATCTCTTTCAGAGATTTCTTTCAGAGAGTGGGAGAGTAGAATAGGAGCAATAAAAGCAAATTAATAATGTTATCGAATGTGTAAATGACTTGAAAAATAAAACGGACAATTCGGAAACTCTTAGCAATTGCAAAGCAGTTTTGAACGAAATGTTAGCTTTCAAATTTATTGTTGCCACACACGTGTGGTATGAGATTTTATTACATGTAACTAATATAAGTAAACTATGGCAATCGATTCCAGTAAAAGTCGCTGTTGATACTTTACGTTCATTTTGTACTTGGATTCAAGAATTCTGTGATACTAGATTTGAGAAAAGCGTTGCAGATGCTCGATTGTTTGTGCTTACAAAATTGAGTCACAATTTAAAGATAAATGAATAGCGCAAAAAAAAAAACGAATGTTCGTTTATGAACCCATGGATTAACCGCTGAAACACAGTACAAAGTAAATTTTTTCAACACAATGGTAGACGCAGTCATAGTCGACACTGAATGTCAATTCAAAGCACCTAATGAAAATTTTGACCGTTTTGGTTTTATTTATGATATCAATTATTTAAAATTTTTGCCAAGAGAGGACCTGCTCAAAGCATTGAAATAATTTAGATACAATACTTTGGAAAGATGAAAACAGCGACATAGATCCTTTCAAACATTATGAAGAACTGCAAATTTTAAAATCCACTTTACTTAAAAATATAAATGATGCAAAGCAACTTATACAGTACCTTTTAGAAAATAATTTTGAAGAAATCCAAATCTTTACATAACACTCAGAATCATGCTCATAATTCCAGTAAGTATAGCTTCTGCTGAGAGAAGCTTTTCAAAGTTAAAACTGATTAAGACCTACTTAAGAAGCACGATGAGCCAAGAAAGATTATCTGCTTTATCCATTTTGTCCATTGAAGTTGAAATAGCAGCGGGTGTTAGTTATGATACAAATTTAAAATGATTTAGCGAGGCTAAAAGCCGAAAGGTTCGTCTTTTTTAACTTGTTAGTTCGTGTAATTATTGTTGTTAATTTATATTATAATTAACAATGAAACTTATATGCTCCTCCTAAATTTTTAAACTTATAATGAAACCTAATATTTAAATATTAAGAACAAATAAGTGTGAATACGTTTAATATAATTAACAATAACAGCTCTGACTTGTGTTTAAAACTTTCAATAAAATATAGTGCTTAATAAAAAGTCAAGCCCGGAAATTCGGCCAATCCAAGGTTTTTATTTTTATTTTTTTTGTTTTACGTAAAAGGGCCTCGCAAAGCTAATTTTGCCAACGTCAACGATTTGCCTAGCACTGGTTAAAATTATCAAAAAAATACGACAAGTGTTACCCATTGATCAATGAGTTAAGAAGTAAGCAATGTAGTTAAAATAATAAAAAGAACTGTAGTTAAAATAATAAAAAGAAAAAAAGATGTTGCAAAAGTGAAAATAAAAGCTTTTGGCTTAAGACTTTCTTTATGAAGTCCAATTGCAGCAAAAACAAATGGCAAACTAAATGAAAGAAAGTCAGAAAGGATTTTATCAGCAGCTGCTATAAAGATATTATTGTAATACTTAAATATGAAAAAATGCTAGAAAGATATTATTTTAATACTTAATGTAATGCCTTTTTTTATTTAACGAATTATTTGTTTTAAATTTATTGTACAAGATTGATCTCCAAAAACCATATTTTAAACTGTGTTTTTTTAGATTTTTTTTTACGAAGTTTGTAACCTACTTTGGTTAAACTAGATTGGATTAGCAAACTGTGTCTAAAAGTCCAATACTTTTACCAGTTTTACCAGAGGTTCAAAATTATTCATCTTATTGATTAAATCTGAACGGTTTAAAAAAAATGTCCTTGATCGTTTTTTTAATTGTTGCTGAAACATTCACGAAAAAACGTTTCTTATATGATTATAAAATGGAGATTTAAATTATTTTTTCTACATTTTGTAAAAGGGATTAACCTTTTAATTAAAATTATCAACTATTAACGTTTTTAAATAGCCATCATCGAAATTTAAGAGAAGCTAATACAATTTTAGTTATTTAGGTGCTCCAAGAAGTCCTTACGGTCTTATCACTGAGCACCGCGGAACAGCATTTAACCAGGAAGTTAATGGATTCTCCCTTACCCATGATGCATATGGGGTTTAAGTCGACTTCAAGCCACGGACCTCCAGTTCTGAAGCCAGAACTCTAACCACTACACCACGGCTGCTATAAACATTCATTAATTAAATAACAAATTTTTCTATTATCTAAAATAGTTTCCAAATAATCTCATATTCTTTAACTAGGTTTATAGATATAATTAAAAAAAACAACAGAAAAGTTTTTATAAACATAAAAATTATTATTATTTTTTTTTATTCCATTATTTTCGTTGTCACCCATACATAATATTTAATATTTTTAGTTTACTAAATATAGATGTTTTTTTTATAGCACAAATAAAAATCGTTAAAAAAAGTTCATGAAATATTCACATAAATTAAAATACATACATCATCCTGCAATAAAATATTAACAATTTCTATATACTGCTTTTTTTTACATATTTTATATATTGCCTTTTTATATCCTACATACAATTCATACACATTCTTATTTTATATTTCTTTTTTATTTGTTTCTACATACTCAATTTTTATCACGTATTAATGTTGTATTAATATATATATATATATATATATATATATATATATATATATATATATATATATATATATATATATATATATATATATATATATATATATATATATATATATATATATATATATATATACTTTTTAAACAAAATAATTACATTTTTATGTAAAAGAAAAGTTCGCATTTTGCGAGAATCCGCACCATTGCGATAAGAAATGAAGAACTTGCTGGCATTCGGGACTTCGAGAGACCTATCAGATGAACATTTATGAATATTTAAACGGTTACATAAAAAAAAATTTTAAGTCAATTTTAAAAGTTAAAATCTTCAATAAAAAATTTTTTTTGCTAGAAGACTTATTGTTTAATTATCTCTTGGACATGTAAAAGTATTATGTTAAAAGCTCAATTTCCTATTTTGATCTCATTCATAAATGACATTACGTAACTTTGATCTCCCCCCTAACCTTTGTAACACATTACGAAAAGGCAGGCCCCTTCAAATATAACGTCTACTCATGTCATTCTACAGTTTGAACAAAAAACTTTCAACATATAAAATAAAAATTTATTTATATTGGTTTACCTAAAGAGAAAAAAAGTATAAGAAAAAAATATTTTTACGATCTGTGACAAATAGTTTGTTCACTGAATATAATACAATATCTGATCCCTAGGCAAGATGGAATGTTGTTCACAAACCTACTTAACATTTGTGAACAACAATTAAACGTAAACAAACTTTATAAACAATGTGGAATTTTTTATAAAAAATTTAAGATTACAAATTCAAACTAATATTTTTTACAAAATACCCATAAAACTATTTAAATTTAGCGTGGCTTGCAATCAAATACACATTTTTAACATCTGTTTTATAATAATTTCAATAGGATTTAATAAGATTTATACTTCGGTGAGAAATAAATTAAAAGCTCATTTCCGATAAATCGAGATTTACTTGGTCGGTAATTTTCAAAGCCTGTTTACACTGAAAATTTTTGATTTTATCAGTGACTAATAAATATTTTCTAATTTTTAAGCCCGATTTTTTTATTTGATAACAAGTAAAAATTAATAAACGGGGGAGGGGGTCTAAATAAGCTTGGGTAGGTAGGAAAATTTTCCAAAAATTAATAAACGCCCCCCCCCCCCCTTGTATTAGGGACTCGAAAGTAATGACAAAGGTAGATTCCTAAATATTAAGTCTACATTTTTCAACTCTTTTTCAACAAAACCGTTTAGCTGGTTTTAATGCTTCTGTAATTATTAGTATTTCCTTGTTTATGAGATGTTAATCTATTCATAAAAATATTCAAAATAGTTTCAAATAGGTTTCAAATGGTTGATTTTACTCGATCTGTGTTACGAGATCTTTTTTTAATTGTGGAAAGGGCCTTTAGTTCTTAAAATCAATCATAAGATTTTCTTTTATTCTATTTTTAAACCAATTTTTCGTGATAATTCTTTTTGTACTTTATAAAATGTACTGAAACATTCAAAATTCAAGAAAAATTCAAAAAGTTTTTTTTTTATCGGACATCCGCAAATAATTCTTTAAAAATATTGTAAAAATATTTCAAATTTTTAAAAATATCAGAATTCTAAACAAAATGTACGTGAAAGTTATTGTAATTTTAGATTTGATTGGTAACTAAAATTCAAATGCAATAATCTAATGAACTTTAAACTTACAACTTGTAAATTATTTAATTTAATTTATCATGTTAAAATAGCAAAAAAATACAACATATCAAAACAACATTTCAAAAAATAAATATACATTTTAATTAAACTTGCTAAAAAATAAAATTTTATTAAATTTGGTGTTGTTCTTTACTTAAGCTTTAAGTTTGACAAAGGAAGTTGAAAACATAGTAAATTTTTTTAAAATAAAATTTAAATTTCTCTTCCTAGTCTCAGACACTCACAAATATCATCCTCTTCTTCCCCCATAAGAACCCATAAGGTTGTTTATGGATTTTCAAAAACTTTTCTTATTAAATTATTAAGTTAACTTGCTGACTTATTAAAGTCAAATGACCAATCTTCAAGTTTGAACCCATAATAATTAACCACCCCAAAACTACATATAATTTGCATTTTGTAATTTTTTAATCTTAATACTGACAGTACTATCTCAGTTATTCATAAAGAATGCAAGATGTGAAAAGGATCTACTTAAGGCCTATAAAAGATTAGGTTGAGACTATTTTGCATCAATCAAGTTAGTAATTTCATAAACTTTCATAGTCTTATTGACCATTTATTCTATTAATTTAAATTTCTTTCCCCAAAAACCATTAATTTGGTAGCACCTTAAACAATTAAAACTATTAAAATTAAAAACAACTAACCTTTGTTGCCATCACAAATTTGTTCCAATCATCTTTATTGGCCATTTTATTTGGTTTTTTAAATTCGATTCCATTGGTAAGTACTGGATAACCTATAAAAGTGGTTTTATATTAGCTTTTGTTCAAAACAAAATCCTATTCACTCCCAACAAGGCTTTAAGCAACCATTATTATGTTGGGAGTTACTAGAAATAAAAAATAGAGCTAAAGAGCAAGGAAATAGTTGACAGAAGATTTAAAAACTGAAGGTTGCATGAGTCAGGAAAACATGAAGTTGGGAGAAAGTTCCAAAGGAATAAAGTGCGGGGGAAAAAAAATAAATAAATAAAAATTTTTAGAGCATGGAGGGACAGAGGCAGTAAAAAGATGAAACTTTGTTGTATGACCAGTCAAGCGAAAATGAGTTTTGGTTAATGGAACTAGAGATAATAGCTCTTAGAACCATGATAGTATTTGTAGAAAAGAGAAAGAGATGCAACCTTACAATGATAGGAAATTAGCTCAAGCTTGGAAGATAAAGCAGGTCCAAATACATTTATAATGTAATTTTGGACCTAGAAGTGAAAGAACATCATTAAAAGAACCAACTCAAATATGACAATAATATTCCATACAAGGATGAATAAGAGATTTGTAGAGGTAGTGAATGGAATAAGGAGTAAGATAATGGTGAGCTCGATAAAAAGAAGCAACCTTAGCAGATGCTAACTTAGCAATCAATTGTATATATGATTTTCATGAGAGGTCAATAGTAAATGATAATCCAAGAATATGTAAAGAAGAGGACTCAGTGATAGGGTTGCCATTCATTAATATAGGAATGTTGACAGTATTGTGATAGTTGTTTGAAATAAATAACTGAGTTTTGTTGGAGTTAGAATTCACAAGTCACTGCAAGCCCCAATCTGTTACAGAAGTGAGATCAGATTCAAGATCAGCTGCCTGTTCTAAGTGATCGAAAAGAAGACTTCTTGTTGAGACAGGAATATAAAGTTGAGCCATCAGCAAATAGAACCACTTTAGATCTAAAGTTATCAGGAAGTTCATTAATATATAAGAAACAAAACAGGACCAAAGATAGAACCTTGAGGTACCCCAGAAGAAACTGGAAATGAAGAGTATTGGCTTTCAAGGATGACTTTAATAAAGCAATTAAAAAGAAATGATTAAATAACCTAAAAAACTTTCCCAGGTGAATATCATGAATACCATTCGAAGTAAGACCAATATGCCAAACCTTATCAAAAGCTTTAGATATCTGAAGAGCAATAGCCCTTGCCTTGCCGCCTCCATCTAATGCACAACAGAACCTTTCAGTCACAGCAATTAGCAAATCAGTTGTAGAATGAGAAAATCAAAAACCATATTGATTGTCAGAGAGTTAAATTCATTAGATTCAAGCTGAGAAAGCTGTTAGAAATTTAAGCTGAGAAAGCTGTTAGAAATTTATTGATCAAAGACTCAGAGACCTTGCTTATAATAGAGCTTGCTTATAATAGAGACCTTGCTTATAATAGACTGATTGGACGATAGTTGGTAGGATCAGAAGGTTCTTCAGAGTTTTTAAAAATTGGAACCACAGATGCCGTTTTCTAGCAGACAGGAAAACAAAATTCAGTTAAGAACTTATTAAATAGTTTAGAGAAAATTAAAGGGAGGTCTTTAAAACACTTTTTTAAGACTATGACAGCAACATTGGACCACAAACCATAGAAGAGTTCAATTGAAAAATGATTTTAGCAGCAGTGATTTGGATGTCAAATAATGGGTTGATCTATTTAAATGGAATGGATGGAATAGTACGGAAAATAGTTTCAAAAGTCGAATTTAAAGAAAAGTTCTTTGCAAACACTTCTGCCTTATCCTTGGAAGTGGTAATAAGATCAGATCGATGAATTAGAGATGGAATATTAGACTTACCTTTGTAAATGGTGCTGTTGAAGGTTTTCCAAAAGTCTCTAGAGACTAACTTCTGTGATATGATACAAGATTTAGTAAACTGGAAATAATGGAGCTTAGCATCAGACAGCACTTTTTTGCATTGATTTTTTGCAATAATAAGAAAGTGACTGGACACATTCAAGTTCAAGGAGAAGGTTTTAAGGAGATGTTAATAAAAAAATTTTTCAAGTCAACTTTTCATTAAGTAAAATAATTGAAAAACTCAAAGAATGGGGATTAAGTAGTGAAAAAGTTTTTTTAACGATTTTCGCAGATTCGGAATTTACGGGCAAAATAAATATGTATATAAGCATTTCCATAAGAATGACTTGGTTTTAGAAAATCCTGGGGGTTTCCTTGGAACACCTAATATTACATACACATATTGTTTGAGTTGCTGCAACTGAACCAAAATATAACGAAAGTCCTGTGTGAAGTAGTACATAACAAGTGATAACAAGTGAAGCAAAACAACAACAAATATTTGGTACCTGAAATAACACATGGAAGAGCAGTTTCACCAGTTTTAGGTGTGATTAAAGATGCTTCAAAAGTATTTCTATTGTCCATGGGAAGATTTTGTTCAACCTTTTGATCCATTGAGATAGCAAGTACCCATTCTTTTACCTCTTCTCGTTGATCTTCCTAAATAAGACAGATAATTAAAAATATATATTTTTTGACATATTTCAAATCCTCTATGACAAAAATCTATGATAAAATTTAAAATCACCAAAATAACATACAGCAACAAATTGAGCTTCAGGAACAGACACTTCCATAGGTATATCTGTATCTGTAAAGTCAGTATTATCAACTGAATCAAGGTTGCCTTCTTCAATTCCCTACAAAAAATATATATTTGATATTTGGTATTTAAATCTTCTGTAAAACATCAATTATGTTTTCCCCTGCACATCTATTGTATTCAGACTATTCTAAACACAACAAAGAATTCACTTATTAAATCAAAAAACAATTGATAGTGCAATGTATTATTAAGAACTTTTTTTTAAAAAAAAAAAACATCTTCATTCCCAACGAGGCTGCAGCAACCGCTATTAGAGTTGGAAATTACTGTAAGAGAAAAGATGAATTTTATAAAGCAAGATAACGATAAACAGATGACTTAAAAGGTTGAAAATTATATGAATCAGGAAAACAAGATAAGGGGAGTGAATTCCAAAGAACTGATGTTCAAGAAAAAAACTAGACAAATTAGAACTTTTGGAGCACTTAGGAACAGTCACAGTTGAAGGATGAGATTTAATTTAATAACAAGTAACAAAAGAATGAACTTTAGTAGATAGCACAAGAGACACTAGCTCTTTAGAGCAACGCCCATTATAGTATTTATAGAAAAAACAAAGAAAAGACAATGTGATAATGGTTGAAGGTTGGCTGCAGGTCAAATGTTTACAATGTGTTTTTGCAACTTGTCTAAAAGTGAAAGGGCATCATTTGAAGATCTGCTACAGATATGGCAACAATATTCCATACAAGGATGAATTTAAAATTTATAGAGATAAAGAATAGAATCTGGTGTAAGAAAGTGACAAGCACAATAAACAGATGCAATCTTTCCAGATGCTAATTTTGCAATGGATTTATATATGGTTTCTGAGAAAGATCGGAAGTAAGAGTTAATCCAAGAAGATGAAGGGCAAATGACTCATTGAGTACATTACCATTCATAAATGTAGGAAGATCTAGATTGTTGTGATAAAAATTAGCTGAAAAAAATGGAGTTTATCTTAGTTAAAGTTCACCAGCAACTGAGAGCCCCATGCTGTAGCAGAAGTGAGATCCTTTTCAAGCTCAATCGCTCCCTCCAAGCAATTAAAGAATATTGGCTTCTTATTAATACAAGAATAAATGGTAGTGTAATCAACAAACAAAGACACTGTAGATGTGAGAATTTCAGGAAGATTGTTAATGTAAATTTAAAAAAGTATAGGACCAAAGTTATAACCTTGAGAAACTCCTGGAGTTACAGAAAATGATGAAGAGTGCTGCCCGTCAATGACAACTTTAATGCTGAGATTGGTAAATAAGAATTCAATAATCCTAAAGATTTTACCTGATACACCGTAAGAACAGAGCTGATGGAGAAGACCAGCATGTCAAACTTTATCAATGGTTTTAGAAATTATCAGGAATTTATATTAATGATCAGAAAGTATATTATAAGATTCAAGATGAGAGGTTTAGTGTTTCTTAATTAAAGACTTGAACCTTGCTTATAATAGAAAGAAGACTTATGGGATGATAGTTAGACAAGTCAGAACGCTCTCTAGAATTTTTGAAAATAGGGATAACAGATGCTGTTTCCAGCAGGCTGGAAAGCAAAACTCAAATAAACACTTGTTAAATAGTTTTGAAAGTAAAGACTACAGCTCTGGAGAACACATCTGCAAGACAATAACAGGTATGTTGTCCAGACCACAAACTGTAGAGGAGTCTAAGCAGGAAATCACTTTAGATACAGAAGCTGGAGTGATATAAATGTCAAGCAATCGATCAGCCTGTTTGTTGGCTACCTTTTTACAATGGTTTCTAACAATAGTAAACAGACATCTGTTTTCTGTTTTGGTAATAGATATGGAAGTAATGGTTACGATTGGAAATTACAGCAGCACAATGTGAGGAAAACCATGGAGAAGAGTGAGGCTTGACTTGGAATTGTTGAGAGGGAATAAAGGATTCCATGCCAGCCTGAATCCAAGAAGTTACATAAGAAGCACAATTGTCAACAGGAAGATGAAAGATTTCTACCAAAAGGCCATTATGAAGAAAATCATGGAAAGAGTCCCAGTGAGCTTTAAGGTAGTTGTAAGAGGTACAATTATAAGGAAATTCTGATGATAAAGAAGAATGAGATAATAGTTTTAGAGAAATCAAGCCATGATCAGAAGCACCTAAGGGTAAATGCGAAGAATCTGAGCACTGACTATGATCAGAAACAAGACATAAGTCGAGTAGAGAGAGTCAATGATTCAGATTGTCTGGAAAGTGAATAAGACTGTTGACTATTTGTGTTACAGATTAAGAAAAGCAAGTTGTGGGCCTTAACACCTGCAGAGTCACTGACACTAGAACCAAGCTATTCAATATGATGAGCATTAAAGTCACCAAAAGCAATAATATTGGCTAAAAGATAAAGTGAAAGGGCTTGGTCAATTTGATCAGAAATAACATCAAAAAGAGTGCAGTCTTGAGATGAAGGAGAGCGATATAGAAAAAAATACAGACAATGTTTAATTTCCAAGACAACCACCAATAAAGCTATAAAAACATCTACTCTGAACTCCAGTGTCTAAAAATTTTCAAATTATTTCTAGTTTTCATACCCTTGTACATCATGTTCTTTTTTATGTCTGTTTAAACAACTTTTGTTATGCATAATAGTAATCTTTTTAGAATTTTTGTTTCAAAAGTTATAAAAAAATTAGAATTACATAAAAAAATGATTTGAATAAAAGTTAATATTAAATCTTACTGCGTCAATATATCAAGAAATCTCGCCTCAATCATATCAAAATATTTTACCTCACTTATATCAAGATATCTGTTAAGAAAAACAAAAGCCATATTGTCCCAGCCAACAGCCTAAAGATATTTTGTAAACAGTATTTATTAAACAGTATCAAATACAGTTGAACTTATGTAATTGAAATCCTCAAGAGATCTCAAATTATGTTCATCTTATAGAAGAATTATAAGAGTTCAACTGTATTAATAAAAATTAAATAACAAATAACTGTTTTTAAATAAAATAATAATAAGGTAATAAAATATAATAATAACAAGGTAACTAGATAAAATAATAATAAGGTATTTAAATAAAATAATAAGGTAAATAAATAAAAATACAATAAGCTTATGTACAGTAATTTTTAACTTTCAATATAATACAACTGCATTTAAACTAACTTAACACACAATTGAGATTAACTATACTTCATATTAAAAGTGTCAAACGTCTAAATATGATTACTTGATAAAATAAAATTTTTCTAATAACCATATATGGGATTCAGACAAAAAATCAATTAACAATGAGCAATGAACCAATGTACAATGACAAAAAAATTTAGTGTACGCATAAAACTTGTGAAGCATGTTAGACAGCTTTTTTTTTTTATTTATTTTAATTCACCTCCTCAAGGCCAAGAAGGCCACTACAGACGAGGAGGCTACTTATTTGTGGTTATAACCCTCTCTCAACTCTATAACTCCGAAACCCAAACCTTGACAAACAAGGCCGCTGCGCGGAGAAACGAGTTGAGCGCGGTACTACCAGGGACGTGATGGGGATTGAACTAAGAACCACTCGTTTATGAAGCAATCACTCTACCACTACACCACTACCGCATTGTAACCAAGATACAGCAGCTGTAACCAAGATAAACATCGCTGCTGTAGTCACAAAAGTAATGATAATCAGTGTCATTGATTTTCAAGAGTTTTTTTTTTTTTTAATATTTTTAAAAGCTATTTTATTTCTAATAAACTTATTTATAAACTTTTGACCTTCAAATAAGTTTTAATTAGATTAAAGAAACTCATTAACCAAATTAAACTTATTATAATCAAAGAAAAGATGAAACAGATTTAATTAATCTTTTTAATATTAAAAATAATTTGTGTTAAAAAACATTACTTATGTGTTAAAAAACATTACTTATGTGTTAAAAAACATTACTTATGAAAAGAGCTAGATATATATTTTTCTTGCAAACCACATTGTTCAGCAATGAAATTTACTTGCTCAAGCAAAAGTGATGCAATCTTAGTGATGCTATATAAAATACTATTTAAAAATAAACTTTATTGAATAGTTTTAATAAATATAATATACTATATAAAATGCTATTTAAAAATAAACTTTATTGTTTTAACCATTATTGTGATTATTTTTAATATTATTGCTGAACTAAAATTAGCGAGAACTGTTATAAATCAACATCTATTAATGTTGAGTTGAGGTTGAGCGCAAAATGTACTCTTTTTGAATTGAACATCTACTGTTATTGAACTGAAGATCTACTGTGGAATTTATCATTTACTGTTGAGCTCAATAAATAGTTTTGTTGAAATCTTTTTTTATGAATTGTTTTTTGAATATAATGTAAATAAGTTTAAAAATATACTAAAACAATTCAGAACAACTACGTGAAAGTTTCAAAACTTTTCACCAAATCACTTTAAAATCTTTTACGATATTTTTGTATTCTTGTGTGAAATTGACAAAAAAAAACTATATATATCAAGTTTATAATTTTTTATGATCATAATTATCATTATCATCATAAATCTAATTATATAAAAAATAATAAAATTTACAAACATTGATAAAAACAATAAAGTTAAAAAATGAAGAAAAAAATACTTTGCAGTCAATGCCAGCTTCATAAAATGCTTTATCACAAGGTATCATATCAGAGTAGCGAAGCAAGGAAACTGATATCTTGGTACGAATTATTTCCTAAAACATTTTAAAACTATTGTAACTTATTATCTTTAATACTCCACCCACCCCAGAATACTTTTTATCTTAAATATGCCACCCACCCCAGAGTACTTATTTTTTGAATATGCCAGCCACTCCAGAACACTTATTACCTTGAAAATGCTACCCAACCACAGCCAAAAATCAACTTAGTAAGTAGCAGTAAAATTAAGATAGCAATATTAATTTAAAAACCAGAAAGTAAAAAAATTAAGATAGCAATATAAGTTTAAAAACCAGAAAGTAAAAATTCAAAAAAAGAAATCTACCAGTTTTTACACTGGCAGCTTTAAAGAAATCTAAAAGACAAAGAAAAATTTTTACAAGAGCTTTATGTGGTGTAACAGCAGCACGAACAGCGTAGTAATGAGCTACAAGTAACATGGTATTAAAAATCTTCATAATGGCAGGATTTGTTGGTTTCTTTGTGAAGCCTTCACACTAAAATAAAAATAAAAAAATTCCTAATATATATATATATATATATATATATATATATATATATATATATATATATATATATATATATATATATATATATATATATATATATATATATATATATATATATATATATATATATACATTGAAGAAAACAAACAAAATGTTTTTTTTTTTAAATTTCTTACTGTTTTTTTTTTTTTTACAAATTTATTCCTCTTATTTAAAAACATTCAGTATTCTTTTTGTAAAACACACTAATTCAATTAATAATTCTTAATAGACACATGTTTTTGTTTTATCCTCTCATTGTTTGTAATCTTAATAACTTGAAATCATATAATTTATGCAACACTGTTACATCAAGTAAGTAATAATACATAAAGTTTTGATTTTTTTCAACAGAATCTTGACAGATTTTTTCAATTTTAGAATTCTTAAATTAAACAATTAAAGGTTTCCAAATAATCCATTTGTCATAATCCATTCATTCAAAATTTTCTTCATTCCAATTTTTTTTTTTGCTAATAGAAAACCTTTATTTTTATCAAAAAAATTCAAAACAACTGTAAAATATCTTCTGAAAGTGTTCATGTAGACCAGGATGATCGCATAGTTTTTAAACAAAAATCTAAAAGATATATATATAAATATATATATATATATATATATATATATATATATATAACCTATAAAAATTTTAATAAATTTATAAATTTATTATTTCTTGGTTAAAAGTATAACTATTAAATTATATTAGTAAGTCACCAGTGGTGTCCCACAAGGATCTGTTCTAGGACCTCTTATATTCATCTTATACATAAATGACATTACAGACCTAGCAATCCAATGAAGTTATATGCCGATGACAACAAAGTTATTTCCACTAACTTGACACCTGAGAGCCCAGCTTTGCTTCAGAAGGATATAAATCACATTATGTGTTGGACTTTAACCTGGTGCTTATGTCTTAACTACAAAAAATGCCTTATCGTACGTTTTAACGAAAGTAAAAATCCTAATCACAAATACTATACCTTGACTCAGCAAGGAATGCAGCTTCTTGATTCCTCTTACAACAAAAGAGATCTTGGCATTTGCATTTCATACAACCTCAAATGGGACACTCACATTGAATTATATTATCTAATGCTAACTCTGCTCTTGGTCAACTAAAGAAATCTTTTCTCTATAAAAATGGTCATGTTTGGAAGACTATACACATCCCTTGTCAGACCTCACCTCAAGCATGCTGCTCCTCTAAGGAATTCTCTTTCTGCACCCAACGTCAAAAAACTTAAAAAAGTCCAAAACCATGCCCCTAAAGCAATTCCGTTTGTAAGAGTGCTATTCAGCGACACCAGATTATCATTTCTTCACCTCACCTCACTAAATGAAAGAGGCATTCGAGGTGATTTAATCTACAACTTTAAATTTATTAATAACTTAGAAAATGTTTATTAGCTTAACCCACAAATTGTCAATCCATCTGTCCAAATAATTCAAGAACACTCTCAACATCTCATCAAAGTATTATTTAGTACTTCAGATCACAACAACAACATGCGAGCTATCTCTATTAGGCTTAATTTCTTTCTTAACAGAGTAGTCAGTCAATGGAATTTACTCCCACAAACTGCAATTGACTCTGGTAACCTAAATGAATTTAAACATTGTATAGACAAACACTCTATCCAGCACTAGTTTTACAAATTATTACCAAATTGCTGGGACAGCTCATCGTTTACCGACAAGGAGCTAAAGGGTTGCTACCCTTTTCAATAGAGATAAAAAAAAAACTCATTCAATTTGTGTTACTAGTTTTATCCTTATATAATACAGCTTATCATTATTATTATTATTATTATTATTATTATTATTATTATATTATTATTTAACTTCCAAATTTTTAAAAATTTGGAAATTATTTTATTGTTAAATATTGAAAAAATAGAGATGTGAATAATTTTAAATATAAAATTTTGAAAATATTTTACTCTGGTGTTTTTATTTCCTAGGTGTAAATAAAATTTCATGTATTCAAGAAAACTATAGATAAGTTAAAATACAGAATTATGTTAATTAAAGAATTATTAAAGAAAACTACAGTTTTAATTCAAACTAATTGTCACAAATAAACAAAAAATATTGACAATTAGTAAAAAAAAATAAAAACAAACTAAAAAATAATAAAAGAAAAACATAAAAATACCAAATCATAAAGCATTGATCTAAGATTTGCCCAAACTTGGTATGAATCTGCTCCACTTAACCCTGGTTTTGCAAATAAATCTTCAACTAAACGTTTGTAGACATTGAAGTTCTATTGAAATGATTTTTATTATTACAAAAATCACATTTACCCAAATTAAAAACTTCAAAAAAGTTATTTTTAAAAGCAGATCAATAATTTAAAAGCATAATTTATTTTAGTTTTAAAATTATTATAGCTACCTGTTGATTTGGTGGGGCACCATGTTCAACAAACAATGATAAAGCTCCCTCTAAATTTCCTTCTTTAATAAGGTGTGCAGCATACAGTGTTACATACTTTGTTAAAACTTCAAATGACTAAAAATGAATCTTTTTTTATATTTAAGAAAAAAATTTCAGGATAAATAATAATATTGGAGAATGGATATTATTAACTCATTCCATAATATATTATACAAAAAACTTAAAAATAATCAGAAAAACCTGCTTTTTGGCTTGCTCAATACATTTCGCCCAAGCTCCTTGTTCAACATACATATCCAATGCTGCTATCACATCAACACCTATTAACTAAATTAATATATGTATAAACAAAATAATTTTCTAAACAACTTATTAAGACTTATTAGATTAGATTAGACTTAGAAAGATCATTGGCGTAATATCTGCACACACCATTAAGTTATTTTATATTAGAGTGTGTGGTAAACTGTGCATTGTAAACATAGACTCTACAATGAAATAACTGTACTTATTACAACTTTTTATAAATAAAAATTTGGAGCAAATTCAGAATACACTGCTATTTACACCATTATATATTTTTTTCAGTTGCTTAACGTGACCCTAACCTTTTAAACAAAAGCTAACTGAAAATATTAAAAAGCAGGCTATTCTGAAAATTTTAGGTTTATTAAAATATCAGTATCACACATGGATAGTTTATTCCTTTCAGATATTTGAAAAAAGCATGCTAAAGTTATCTTTATTTACTAAAGATTTTGCCCCCTTGTCAAAAATATTTTGGATTAACAGATTCTTTTGCTATTGGTAACAGATATTACCAATAGCAGTTAAGTGTAAAATATTATTAGCCCCAAATTGTGCATAAAAGGTGTGTTGGCCAACAATTCTGATGTGCAATTTTACAACTTGATTTACTAACAGATATATTGTCAGAAAAAAGGATGTTGCTATGTTTAGCTAACTATAAAATGGGTTTGCTTTGTTGCAAAAACCTTTAGTTAAAAAAAAACTTCAAAGTTTCAGAATTGAACTTTGAGGAAGGCACATTTAAGAATTATCAATGTAAAGTGAACTAATCTTTTTTTCTTAAGGTATAGTATCCTATTTATTTAGACTACACAACGTTGATTTTGGAATCTGAAGTTTGGTAATATAGAAATTTGTTTATTGCATGAAAAGTATTTGGCCTTAAGACTAAAGTGAATATTTTCAAGCAAACTTTCAAAGAAGAGTAAAATATGAAATAGCACTAAAAACAATTTTGGTTAAAGTCCTCTTATGAATACAGAAACACCCACACAATAACAACTTATTCGTGATTTTGATTTTCTGATTAATAGTTATCCAATTTATTGTTTAACCATAATTGCATAAATTATAGCAGAAAAAATAACCTTGGTATGGAAAAAAGTAAGTCTTTGTTTAATGTCTACGTATTGTAAAGAGTATGAAAGTCTAAGTAATTCTAAATACATCTAGACTGATAAACCAAATTAAATACATCTAGACTGATAAACCAAATTAAATACATCTAGACTGATAAACCAAATTAAATACATCTAGACTGATAAACCAAATTAAATACATCTAGACTGATAAACCAAATTAAATTTAAAGACAAAAAATACTTCTAAAAAAATGGTTTTTTAATATCAGTTTACATGCTTGTGATTTGAACGATGTTCTCTGTGATGATAAAAATACCAAGGGTAAAAAAGATAACAGTTTCAAGATTAATTTTTTATATACAGGTAGCCCAGATAAAAAAGTATTTACAATGTTATTTTTTAATATATAATAGATAAATAAAATAAAAAGAAAATATTTTTCAACAAAAATAATATTAGCGTATAATAAAGCATAATTTTATGTGCAATTGTTCAATATTGTTAATCATTATCTAGACTTCTGCAAAATATAAAGTATAGTCTGTAAAAAACAGATTATACTATATAAAAAAATTTAGATAAAAAACTACAAGAACAGATAAAAACAATTAAGCAAGAAAATATTGATAATAGAGAAAAGTCCAGAAAAATTAGTTTGATGCAAAGGGTTCATTCTGACTTTTAGTTCAGTCGATTGACCTAAAAATAAATCTTCAAAGAAACATAAAACTGAATATAAATATCTTGAACAACCATTGCAACAGAAAATATCTAATATGCTTCCAGAAACTGCATTTTTTAGAATCTTTAAGTAAAAGCTCTAGTGAGGTATATAACATTTGCTGGTAACAGTATATACAACAGATCATGTGAAAATTATACTATGAGAAAAACAGTTGATTATAGCAACCTGCCAAAAAGTGGTTTGCTATAAACAATGAAGAAAAAAGACGTCTAGGTATAAATTGAAGAAAAAGACGTCTAGGTATAGACTCAAGAAAAAAGACGTCTAGGTATAGACTGCAAAAAAAAGGTGTCTAAGTATAGACTTAAGAAAAAAAAAGCCTAGGTATGGACTGCAGCAAAAAAGATATTATATAGAGTATATAGAGAAAAATGGATTACAGTAAAATTTGAAAATTATCTTACTGGTATGGGGTCGTCCATAAAGTACGTAAGCTAAAAATTCTAAAATTTGACAACCCCTCCCCCTGTTGCCATGCGTACTTTTAAGTGCCCACCCCCTTAAAAAGTATGTACGTTTTTCATGCCCCCCCCCCATTTTTTTTTATTATTGAAATAAAAAAGGTGGAGGAGGTAACCTCCTCCACCTTTTTTATATCAATAAATTTTTAAATAAAAAAATAAAAAAATAGGCGGGGGTGAAAAAAGTGTAAAGTATTTATACAACCCTAAACCCCCTTGTTAGCGGCAAAGGATCCCAATTTAAAAAAACGTCATCAAATATATATACAAATAATAATTTAAATAAAATTAAATCATGCAATATCAAAGAATTCACTTGGCTGAGTGGTTAATGTGACCTGAGTTCAATTCCCGGTAAAGTCTTATTTTATTTATTTTTTTTTGTTTTTTTGCTTTTGTTTAATGAGACACATCAAATATAAATAAACTATACTTAAGGCAGACATTTTTTTCAGGCACCCCTCTTTAGTAAGTCTGTAAGAAGCGAGCCTTACGCGAGAAGAGTAATATTGAAAACAAAGCTTAAAACCCAGTGCCAAGTGTAGGCTACCCATACCCCGTAATTAGAGGGGGTGGGGTGTTGTGGGGGAACAGCAAATTTTGTGTCCTTTTGCTATTTTATTTTAGCAAAACCTAGCGGTAAAATTTGGAAGATTTTGAGACCCTAATGACACTTTTTTTCTAAAACTTGCTTTTTGTTGACTCAAAAAATAGACAATCTGTTTTTTGCACATGCATGCACACATGCCACCCCTTATATACTGGCCCTGAGTATACTTAGGGCTAGTATATAAGGGGTGGCATGGGCGCCTGCGGGATTTTTTGATGTTCCAGATAGGACACTTTCACACATTGTGTAAACTCCAAGCTTAAGTATAGTTATATCTATGCAAAATGAGGTGACCTTTTAAAAAATTGGGATAGTAGAGACCTGTGAACAAATAGCACTGAAACGCTTGCCTACCTGCTCAAATGTGAGGGCACTTATGTAGTAAAATTTTTAACTTAACGATTTAAAACTAAATTTAAATTTATTGACAGAATTTAAACTTCATTGAAAAATATTGTAAATTACAAAAGTTATGTCGATGCAAAATGTTCAGCCCCTCATTTTTTTTAATTTTTTTTTGGGGAGGGGGTCAGAAAATTTTACTACATTAGTGCCCTCTCAATTGGACAGGAGAGGGGGTGCAAGCATTTAAGGGCTTTTTTGCTCCCAGGCTACCGCCATAACAACTTTTTGCAAAGCCTCTTCAAATGGCATAGGTATAAACATACTTAAGTTTGGAGTTTGCACAATGTGTGGAAGTGGTTTATCTGGAACATCAAAAAATCCTGCGGGCGCCCATGCATGTGTGTGCATAGAGAGAAACTATACCTTCTACTTCCTATACAATACATCTTTTTATGTTGGCAAACTAGGATCTTTAATCAGAATTTTAACTTTCCTATTGACTAGCTGGTTAATTGTGTAAAACTAGAAAATCGAAGTGCATACTTTTAAATTGAACCCTCCCCCCTCCCCCATATGCTTTCATATGCTTTTTGAAGACCTCCCCCCTCCCCCCTATGAGCGTATGTACTTTATGGACAACCTCTATTCAGTGGCATAATATTTTTATGAGGTATTGACATATAAAAATAATTCCTAGAACTCTGAAGCCTTTATCTTTAACAAAAGCTTTGTCTTGTAACAAACTGAAACTAATTTTTGGTTTTTACTGCTTAAAACTACTATAGAAAATTTGATGAAATAGACAAAGAATATTATCAGGATAAGAAATTATCAGGATAAGAACATGGATCAGAAAAAGTTTACTTTTTAACAATATTAGAATCAGAAAAAAAAATTTAATTTTAATTTTATTGGTTTAAAAGTATTTGTATGCAGAATGGAAGAATGGTAGCCCCAAAGATGCTTTATGTGATTAATGGTGGTCCCAAAGATGCTCTATATGATGTGAAAAAAAAAATAGTTTGGCAAAGACAGACATTTTTACAAGACACACAAAATACTATTTTGTTTTATGGCAGAAAGACACTACAAAACTCATTTTTTTATGTTTAAGTTTTTGTTGTTTTTGTTTTTGTTATTGTTTGTAGTTTTTGTTTTTGTTTATGCTTATGTTTTTTTATGTTTTGGAGTGTTTTTCACAAAAGAAGCAATTTTTAATAAAAATAAACTAATAAAAATTTTTTATTAGTTTATTTTTGTCATTATACTGTTTCATTATGCTGCAACCACTCAATGTGAGTGTTATTAGCCAAGTTAAATATGTGTAGCATGATATTCTTGGTAAATAGTATACATAGTAAAGGCATAATGGTATACAGAGTAAAGGTATAAAGAGTAAAGTAATGGTATACAGAATAAAGCCTATTAGTAAATCTGTATTTCCTTGTTTATTAAAAAAACTGTATAAGTTAAATTCATTTAAATCAGTCTATCACCAAACCTGGAATTTTTCTATTTGATCCATCTTATAGCGTCTAATAAATTGAGCCCTACTAAAATTTAAAAAAACTTTTTTTTCTCAGAAAACAAGTTTAGTAACTTGTTTTCTGAGAAAAAAAGTTAATATTAATCTAATATTATCTCTCAAAACACTTTAAATAAATATTGATGCACAAGAAAATTCTTTAAATTTAACCTTTGACTTTAATAATAATCAACCAACCAATCAGATAATTGCTCAATATAAGCAACCAACCAATCAGATGATTGTTTAA